TCTTGCGTGCTGCAAATAAAGCTCTCCTGGAAACAAACAGGGTCGGGTTGGACTCGGCCGAACAAATTGACACCCCCACGGTGCACGTACAACATACAGCGCGCGTACTACGGTTTCCCGACTCGAGGATGTTGATTCACTTTAGTTTACTAGTTTGTTGACCGCATGCTACTCGTAAACCATTTTTATTTGAAGAACCTTGTTTCAAAAGGACTTCTGTCGCGAGATGTATTCTAAAAAGCATTTCCCTCGCGATGTATGCTAAATAAAACGGTTTGACAAAAAATTCTCCAGATTATGCGTATAAAATGTGAGATTATTATATTAAAATTACAGGTAAAGTAAACAATTGCAATTTATAGTAAAACGATGAACTTTTGTCAATCATAATAGAAATCTTTCCTGATTTTCAAATTCGTTATATGTATCAAGATATTAGATACTTATAAAATATACACGTAAACTGAATATATGCCACATATCGATATATATTTTTTAACGTTTAATGTAAAACTATATTTTACTTATCAAAAATAATTTTAAAATTGTTAAACGTTTTTATTTTTATATTATTAAATATTTATTAATATGTTTTTCCCTAATAGTTTTTATTTATCATTCTTTTCTTGCAGTGTTAAAAAAATAATAAATTTATCCTATATTTGATGTCTCTCCCTCCTACTCTGTAATCTAATATGAATTTATTGATAAAATCGTTTAATTCTGTACAACGAAGAATCGGTTTAATTGTACATTCGTTAACTTCCGACTTTCATTCAGACTCACTGATCTCATCACAAGGAGCACAACCAGTGATCCGATGATCACCCTTCGGGAAAGCACTTCTAGGGACGATATCGATCGAGAGTTTCGGGAGAGGACCGTCACGTCGACTGACAGAGATATAATGTACGTTTATTAAGTGGCAGTCACGTGGCATGTAGTGATACAATGATATCAGTTTTGTACCAGGGCACGACTCGCCACGTGTCACCCGACATGAATCCAGCGCTTTCGCTTTATTACGACAACGGTATTCACACCCCTACCCGGTATCACTAGTCGATCGTAATCACGTTTGGCTTCTCTCATTCATATAGAATCATAGTAAATCGCGAGCGTAAATCTGAGCGCGACGCATTTTGACCAAAATCAAATATTGCAAACTCTTTCTGAAAATTTATATAGGAAGAAAATGGATTAAGTATAGAAGAATATTATATTTTACTATTTACAAAATTTGTTTATTTATATTTTTACAATTCTGGCCTTTTATTTAACGTGTAATTAAATAGTAGAACAAGCTCGTGATTCGCAATCGTTATCCAAACACTTTACCGTCTATTGCTTTTGAGACTGAATAGCTGTCAACGAGAAGTGTCACAAACTTTGATTTATTTTACTATACTAAATAAAACGCAACAAGTTTAATTGTTTTTTATTAGTTTAAGAGATATGACGTAATAGTATTTGATAAATATAATGGATAATATAAACTTTGCTTTTTTAAAATTGTAATCATGCATTTTGTTTTGTTGAAGAAAATTATATTGTAACCGATTTAAAACTGTGTAATTAATCAATAATATATGCACTTATTTTTTATTTTACGATTATCTCAGCTAATTTCTATTTTTAAAAATTATTTCACGTTTATTAACTACTTAAATCTTGATGCTAGATTTATATAACTAGAACAATACAAGTGCACGCTACGTGTGCATCATTCTTCGATTTTATATTAAAAAGAATGATATTTAAGAAAAATAATATAAAGTTTGTTTTAATTCGATTAATATTTTTTGACAGAAATCAGCTGATAACTGTCAAAAATATTAACCGAGTTATTATTTGAAATATATTATTGGAAACATAATATTTTAATTTTTATTACTGTCAATTTAAAATTTAATTAGCAAAATAACGCTTTAATCAATTGATTTTAGCTGATAATATATTAATAATCTCTATTTTTAAGAATTAAATGTTCAACAAAAAAAATAGAATTTTTTTACTTATTATTAATAGCACTTATTATTATTAGTAAATGAACAGCAAGACCGCACGATTTATACGGGATGAAAAAGAGTTTAGTATAAATATTAATATTTTATATATAATACAAATTTTTGGAAAATTCTCATCTATTAAAAAATAATTAAATCTTAATATCTTATAGGAAATATATATGTATACATATATGTTACTCGTTATATGTTATAAATCAATATTTTACTATATGTTGGTCACATATAAATTATTACTGTGATAATGTACAATTAATGATCTACAATTATTGTACTAATATGTTTTCCATGTAAAATCATATTACATTTTATTCCGTATTCCATTTTCGTGAGTATAGATCCCACGACCACCCGAATTGAGCCCGCATGTTGACATCCGCCGGTCCACCGTTTAGCAATAATTTACTCGTCGCATGGCCATGGAATAGCATCGAAAAAGACCTCGCGGAGTGAACGGTGTGGCCGTTGATACCACAATGATGATCCGAGTCCCACGGGTATATTGTTGTCCAATGACATGTCCGTATTTACACATCACGTCAAAATTGCGCGCCGACGGCGTAAATGCACCCGTATAAGACCTAGAATTGGCGTGAATAATACCGATAAGCATGTTCCTTTTTCTACAGAACCTAACAACTACCCTCGAAATGAGAGTGCTTTGATTCAATATCAAACAACTAATCTCGTTTGGGTTGATGAGATTAAGCCTGGTGTGTATTTGAGATATTATATTATAAGGTGTTATAAGAAGAGGAAAACATATATATGTGTAGTCCATTGCTTAATTGTTTTTCACTTTTTACATTTAGAAAGTGCATAAATATATATAACAGATACAATACATGTTTAGAAATATAAACGTATTCAAATCATTTAAAATCTATAAACGTGAAATAATTAAAGTTGCATATAGGAACAAAATTTTGATTCGAATACTCTTTTACATTTATTTCAAAAGTTTGGAAAGAATACAATCAAGAAAAAACTTGAAGAATTATAAATATATGTACATATAAAAAATAAGTTTTGTCGCGGATAAACCTGTGGGAGGATCAGTTTTTTCTCCTTTATAATAATATCCTTAAAATATATTTTTACATTATCCCGAAAAATCTTTTGTCATCTTAACAGTATCATTTTTTGCTCTTAAAGAGCATTTACCCCTTTGCGTTGATCAAAAAAGTATATTTATCTTCTCGAATAATCCTACCTTTTCGTGAAAAAAATTTCGACATTCGAAATTTATCAGTTGTTTCTTATGGGCAGCAGAAGCTGCCAGTAGTTTTGTCGCTATTTCTTCTAGGACACCGCGAGAAAAAGTATTATTCAGAATGGTAGACATTGACGGATTTGTCGGGCGAGTGGTATTAATGTGTTGAACCTGAAAAATCGACGGATTAGTTCGTAAACCCTTGTGAATTCGACGCGGCTTCGTTCGTTCTTTCGAATCGAGTTTTATTCACGGTACCATCTCACAATTCTTTAAATTTTACACACATATATGTATGTATATATGTATATAACATATACATATGTTCTCTTTTTCTTCTTTAAGAATATTACGTATATATATTAGGAAAATCATAATTATATTTTACCATGAGCCAACAAAATAAGAATTATATATATTTTAAGACACAAATGAGATAGTAACTTTTTTGTGTCATACTTTAAAAATTGTGTAACTTTCCATAATATTTGAGATAGAAATGTAAAACTTTAATTCTGAAATTAAAATATCGCGTTTCTCTATATATAACAAATATACATTATAGAAGAGAACAAAAATTCTAGACACCTTTATATTATATGCTTATATAAGGCTACTTATTTATAAATAAAAAATATTGAATTGAAATACAATATTTGATAAGTTGAATATAAATAAAGAAGTTTGCAAAAAAATTACTAAATGTTAACGTGAAAAAAATTTTATTTAAAAAGCAAATCAACGAATGAAATTTGTGTTAGAAGCTCTTAATGTTGAATTTATGGATCGGAAAATTTTTAAATGTATATCTATTATTTTGCGCGACTATTTTCGTTCGTGCACGAGACAACAGTCTTCTAGCACGTGCTGCGAGAAGTTTGACAAAAGAAAGAAGTATCTCTTTCTAGCTAACCAGTTAATAGCTAAGCTGTGGGACTTACAGACCTGCATCCAACATCGATCCATCGAATGTAACCCGAATACCAGCGTTACAATTATCCCCTACTGTGCAGTACTCTTTTTCTTCTCCTATTGTTACTATTAGTCTCTTTTACTGTGTAGAAAGGTGCCTCAAGATGTCTACTGAATTGTTCGATTTTGCCCTTTTAGCAGTGATTTACAGCGGTTATTATATAATGTTAGTTATTATTGCAAATAAATTTTCTATTCTCATATGGGAAGGTCTAAATAGATAAAAATATAATGGAAAAAAATATGGGAAGGTCGAAATAGATAAAAATACAATGGAAAAAAAATATAGACCAAAGAAATCTTGAGAGATCAAGATTCCCGTTGTGAAAGAACAAGAATGTTCAAAAGTCAGTCCAAACATGTCACCCTCGTCAGATTTGCCACAACACAATCTTTTCATTCGCATAATGTAGGTTATATTGAAGGCAATTTTTGAGCGTTTTCCAAAACAATGTTTTCTTGCCTACGATATATCAATTTGCTATTGAAATGTTACGATGCTATCCTGTTTTTTAACATAAATCTTTTGAATGTTGATTCCTGTTTATCATGCTTGTGCGTGACTTTTTGTCGTGTCAAAATTTTGCGCATAAAATATATGTGTTATATATTTTTTATTATATTTATTATATATTATAGATACAAAAATTAATTAAAATCTTGACAACAGAAGGAATAAGGCTAAAATAATTTTTGACAAAATCGTTAAAAAAATTTAATGTAATGTATATTGTATACAACTACTATACATATAATACATATAGTATATTTATATATTTTATATATAATATGCGTCGCTAATATCTTCAAATTGTGTTACATTCTAGTTGGTAGACAGAATGCATATGTTGAGAGAATTAATAAGAATTTTGATAAATTAACGTATCCTGGAATTCAAATTTCAACGATGCAAATCGATGTTAACAGATGAGAAGGAAAATAATTAAAACCCGACACACTTATTATTTACAACACATGAATACGCAAGAAAATAAAAGATGTTATGTCCTTAAAATTTAAACATTTCATGCTACATATATGCTACATTTATCCTTTGTTTAATGCAGATAAAAAATAGATGTTTATCAAAATAGTTATTAACATATAGTAAAACAACATATAGAAAAGAAAAAATTACATATGTTAAAAATAATTGAATATATTACATTAATCGAAATAATGTCTTTGATCCATAATAGGAATTATCTTTTGAGCTAATATTACAGCATCTGGATTTTTAAATACGTCCATTTTCGTCTCTCCTTGCAATTGCTTCAGCACGGTCTCGAAATCTTCAGTGTCTTTTACATCTGCCATCATTCTAAAGGCAAGTACAACACCTGCAAACACAGCGTATATTCGTCTCTTATGCAGGGCTGCCTTTAAATTTTTCATCGTAGGCGCTTTCGTAGTACAGCCTATCGAAGTCATTGTATTCGTCAAAGTTTTCAAGTATAAATTTAATAAGAAATCATCATTCTCATTTTTTATTTCGGTTTGCGGACAGATATTTAAAAAATAATGCAAATCAATAGCTGGAGATGAGTAAACGGACATTTGATAGTCGACCTGTAAATATTTATTCAGAAAATTAATTTCTATCCAAATTTGTCTCATTTTGTGCAAAAAATTTAGAGTTTTCATTATGTTTTAAACAAACTAATAAAAACTTATTTTTGATAAAAAAGAACATTACCATTAAAACATTACTGACTTTTCCATTATCGTTTTCTTGGAACATTATATTGTTAGTCCAACAATCACCATGATTTAGAACACAAAATTCATTAGGTTCGTATTTGTACACGACCGCACATCTATCTCTAATCGTCTTGGCCAATTTATCTAATTTAGTTGCAATACGTGCATTATACTTCTGATCAGCCCAACCTTGAATCGCTTTGCTCATATTTAATAAAGACACTTCCAACAATCGCATATAACTCTCCGGACAAGTCGCAGATAAAATTCCGCCAGTTTTAAATGACTCGATCAACTTAGGTTCCTGCAAAGTATCGTTTAAGCTTCGATTATTTAAATATTTATCGACCTCGCATTTTGATTTTCTTATATTCCAAGTCGAATAAAACATATTATAATTATAACAAATTGATTATAATAAAATTACCGATTATACAAAATAGTCTGCTTATGAAAAATATGTATTATTCTATAGTTTTTTAATTCTGTTATTTTATACATGTATATATATAAAACAAAGTAAATTTTTTTTTATAAATGAGAGCTCAACAAAATTAGGAATTTTTATGCATGAGTAATTGGATTCTATAAATATTTTATGTTATTTTAAGATTAAATTATTATGTTATATAATTCGATGCACTTTATTTCGCATATATATATTTACCTTTTCGTGTAATGCTACGGAACCGGCATGCAATTTGGCTAATTGCTCAATCACAAGAAGACAATGCGCCATTGACAGTCCTTTTTGCCGATCCTTCATAATGAATCCTTTTTCTGATAGATTCTCCATAACGAGAATTCTGCATTCTGACGATCCGAACCACAGTTTCGGTCCTAATTGCTTATGCACGAGCTTCTCGATCTTTGGCAGAGTTTCCTTTAGCATCGTTAATTCGCGTATAAACATATTCTGCTCGCGAACCATTGTCAACTGCATGCCGTTTTTAGGCTCTGATTTGATGACAATATTAGCAATTTGCATCGACAATTTCTTATCAATTTTAGATAAAATTGTATAGACAATTTTCACTTTGAAGAAATTACTTAAAAAATTGGTTCCCATTACGATGTTGGAGTTTTTATCTTCTACACAAAGCACGTTAATCGTTTCATCGCAAAGCTCTGTCCGAAGTACCATTTTAAAGAATTCGTTGATGATTGTTTCGTTCATGTTTTGTGACACATTCATTTTAATTGTTGAATATTAATTCTGCGATAATATAAATTATATCTAAAAGATGCTATATATTTAATGAAACGATGTATTGTTGAAAAGATGTATGTTAATTTGCAGAGAAAAATAAGACTAATGAGAAATCGACTTACGTTCTCACCTCTCAACTATACACAGTACTGAGGATTGTAAAGTATCGTTATAACCATTGTGTATTATTTTGTATTGTTTATATATATATATATATATACCTAAGGTCTAAATGTAAGTCAATCTGCTGAAAATAATCTAAAGAAAGAAAATTGAAATGTTCTGAAAATTAAAAAAGAATTTATAAACAAGTTTGTTGCGTCGAATCTGCGCTTGACTCTTATTAGTCCTTTTTCGTACCTAATTTATTTGTATTTATATATATGAGATCTTTTCCAATTTACTATTATACAAGTAAGATAATTATTAATTGAATCAAATTTTATATATAATAAACAGAAACATAATTAAATATTTAAAAAAGAAAATTTACATGTATGCGCAATATTGTGACAATTTTTTGATATCCTTATATAGAGTTGGAAAGGAAGATTAAAAATAAAAAAGAAATATTTTTTATTATTATTTATCTTAAATATATCTAATTATTGTTGTCAATATTATCTCAATTATTTCAAAAGCAAGACAATTGTCAAATTTAGTTACTTATTGTCAGATTTGTTAATTACTTTATTAAAAAAAGCCAGTATTTCTGGTTTTATAAAAAGTTAACAATAGTAATTTTTATTGAAATTTTTTTTTGAAATAATAAAATACTTATTTAATTTTATTCTGGAAGATCAGTTTCGTGTATTTTTATTGCGTGGACAGTCATAAACTGCAGTTTCATTCTCGTTGACACCTTCCTTGAGCTTATATTTGATAATTATATTATATTGATAATGATAATTAAATTATATCACAGTCAAAGATTGCGTCATAGTTTTGAATAATACAGTAGCGTTATTCGTTGTACTCAAATGCAAACTATTTCGTATCGAGACTAAGATTAAGTAGATTTCTTATTAATATAACAATGAAATAGAATTTTAAATTAAATAAATAGAAAGGAAAATAATGCTTCCTCGAAGTAGGATTTATGATCGAGTCTGAGCAGGAGTGATTGTGTACCTTGTAAATCATAAAGCTAGTACAAGCCTTTTTTCAAAGGACTTCAGGCTGCCACGATGGACTGTCATATAACTTTATAGAAGGCAAAAAAGTAGCTACTGTGTTGTTCGGTTCGAGTCTTCTTATTGTACTCTTATGGCGATGCGCTTATTTAGTTTTTCGTAAACACTTTTACAATCGTCGCGTGTGCGGTAAATTAGGATAACAGTTCCAGTTTGCTACCACAACTTTAGAAGAAAAGTTTTTACTGATAGTTTTGAAAATTCAACAAACATGCACAACAAAATAGCTGGTAATAAAATCATTCACCCTTATTTTTTTCTTTGTTTTACGGAGGTATTTTTTGTCTTAGTGTTTTTGATGGGTTTTATGTTATTCTTATACGACCACCGTTCGTAGTTTTTAATAGAGGTTACTAACTTCCATATTTTTTATTAGCGTTGGGTTTTTTACGAGATTGCAAATTTTATAAGTTGATCCATTGATTGTCGAATTATCTCGATCGCAATTTTGTAGTTTTGTCTAAAAATGTCATTTATACGTAGTATTATGCTTCGTTGGATGCTTTATTTCCAGTATTGAAATGAAGATTTAAGGATCTTAGAGATCGCGTGGATTTTTATATTTTACTCAAAAGTTTATCGAATAAATTAAGTAGCTTACACTTAATGTGATTGAATTATACGTTCACTCAATATGTCGTTTATGACTGCGTGAAAATTATAATTGCGATTGATCTGGATAATGTCGGAATTGTTTTGCGACTGTCCGGCGAGCGTTTGCGACGGGCCTTTTATTTCTTATTTTTTTAATCATTGTTTGGAAGGAGTGGCTGGATATAGGATCCGTTATTTTGTGACTTCGAGTGCAAACAAAGATGGTTTATAATAGAAGTTCTTCGCTTGCACTTTTGCAATTTCCTGTTATCCGTGCGTGGTTCGCTACATTAGCATTTTACATGATAAACACCTTTAAAATTACACTAAAAATTCGTATATAGTCTCTCGAGCTATAACAATAGAAATTGGATTTGCGTCCAATAGTGATAGTTACTTCAAATACACATATATGTACAAGATATCAAATTTGCGTCATCGATAAGTAATATGTTATATAGTATATCAAATTATACTGTTAGATCATAAATTTAGGAATCTTAACAATTACACGATTTTACTGGTTATATATAAATATATGAGTTTTGTATCGAAGTTGTTTACTTTATAATTTTATTACATTATCGCGATAAATCAAATACATATTAAATATATTACAGAGTGGTCCAGTCTTTATTCATTTCATAAGAGTTATATCGTGCAAATCAACTGAAAAATATTTTTTAAAATAATTTTTTGCATTTTTTTACAATAAATAATGATTTTTGATCAAATTACTTATCGAGTTTTTTTTTTTATATTTACATCTCGATATATGTATGTAATTTATAATTCTTCTTAAAAGCTGTATTTGCTTAGCATGTTGCGCGGTGGCATTTCTCTCGAATATTTTATATTTTATATAAGTATCTCTGCAAACAATGCAAAAAATAGGTAGCTATATTTTCAAAACCATCAATAAAGTATAACGTAGCGCTAAGCAGATGTCAAAACAAACTTATTAAGGATACATATTTAGATCGTTTTAAAAAGGTAACCATAATTTTGGAGACCCAGGTAGGATCCTAGCTGTAAAGAACAAAAGTTTTTAGAAAAAAATTGTAACAAAAGCCTAGAAATGCTACCTATTGATAGGGAGTGACTCTGGCACACGCCATAAAATGGGAATCGCTTTTCTGCATAAAATTCTAAAATCTGGTCGAAGAAAGTTTTGCACATTATGTATCCTGCTGCTTTATTATCTTGGACGGACTACCTAGTCAGTTTCCGTATAAATTATTATGTAAAAGTGTCAAAATAGAAAGAGAAAGAGAGAAAATGAGAAAAAGAGAGACAGAATGTGTGTGTGTGTGTGTAAAAATATTTTATTTTTACTCCAGTAAATGTGCAAAAATATTTTTGTATTCTTACAAATAATGCAAAGTTTAATAGAATATAATTCTTTTAATTTTGTTGTAATGCTTCGTAGCATTATATAATCTATATTGCGGAATAGAAGTGTTAAATATACTATAATAATATTATTTTATAATAATTGTAATTAATTACGAAATAATTATATTATATACGAAATTATTAATAATTATATATTGTGTGATTATATTTGTCTACACGCACAAGATTTACTCATTTTTATTTTATTATTATGATTTATTTTTCAGCATGTAATTGCTTGAGAACCCGCAAAAGATAAATCGCTTGTTCTACTTTGTCGCATAATCTCGTTACATACACCTAAATAATAATTAACTAAATAATAATTACTAATATTTTTATACATCAAAGATGCGATACTTATTAATCAATAATATTATTATTAATCATTTTTCGATATTCAGTTTTGCGCGAGCGACTTTATAGATTGGCTCGGTTGTTTTATATATGCTAATCAAGTTAAGAATTTATATAAAACAGTCTGTACGTCACACACGCAGAACGGATCATCGGCAAAGGGCCGGATGTGACATAAAACGGTTATATAAAACAGATGTTAGAAACGAAGGAAGCCCCTTGGCACCCCTATGCTGAGCTCTCGCGAGCACAGCGAAGCCTCTGCGAGAAATCTTTACATATGCATGGACCACTAGCGATACCGTATAAAATCAACGAGTTAGGCAATAACATGAGTAAAGAGAGAAGAGAGGAAGGTTTCCTTCTTAAGCCACGTCATAACATAAATGTCGATTTATTATCACATTACAAGTAATTTATATCATTATGATCCAATTAAATTTAAATTATAATTTTATCAATAAAAAATTTGTTAATAATTCGAATTGCGTATTATAATAACATATTTACATGTATTTTTTGTATTATGAATGATGAATGCATCTCTCTCTCTCTCTCTCTCTCTTTTATTAATCTTTATATTAAAGAAAAAGAAAAAAAAATAAAAAGCATATATTTATATACACTTGAAATAAGCAATATATGTATATGTTTCTCTTTTACATAATGAAATCTTTGACTATTTATTGAGATCTGCTACCAATATGTGCGAAGGATTAAGATAATCCTTCCTTCCGCGCGCGCCCAGCTTAACCATCTTACCGCAAACATTTCTGATCTAGAGTCGACCGCAGTTGCAGACAGGGAAATACGATACGTGACAATAAATTGGAAAGTTAAGGAGAACTTTTACCCATCAACAGATCATCGACTCTTTGGAAACTCAGGAAATGTCGATTTAAAATGTAATATTTTAGTAATGGTTCAATTGCTTAGCACGCGACAATAGAAAAACAGGATTTGTCAATTTACCAAGTTTATTGTACTGTTGAACCAGAATACTATAACTATACAATACAGTTATATTTCTTTCCTCTCGAAAATGTCCTTGTGTTTCTAATTTTATTTGGACAAGCAAATAACCATTATTTTTAAAGAAAGCCTTTGTCGAAACCACTAACGTTTATTGCAGGAAGTGTTTTCCAATGAATCTGTTTATACAGAAAAAATTGCGGTACATGCAATAAAAGTCATTGTCTGATTATTTGTTATTGTGTTTAACATTAGGATATTTCTTTAAAATATAATGAACTTAAAAGATATTTTTTTAGGATTTCATAAAAATATTGTAATGGTCCATATATATATATTACAAAAAGCCATTATAATCATAGAGTTTTCTGTAATCAATTATTCGCAATATTAATATTAATTTACATTTTGAGCGATTTAAATTTGCAATATTAATATCGCAAAAAATCGAACTTTCATCATTGAATTGCAAGGTGTAAGGAAGAAGTCTTTTATTCCTAAAAACCTGTTTCTACTGTTATGAAACAGCAGGGTTTAATGTCCCTTTATTTGATGACATTTCAATATTTATATGTATACAGGGTGTCCGGTAACTAACGGACCAATGATTAAGGGCGGATTCTCTGGCCAATTTGGAGACGATTTTTCCTTAGCAAAAATGTTGAGAAGTCAATAATTTTCGAGTTATAAGCGATTGAAAAAAATGGGTTTTTTGAAAACTAAACGTTGTGGAGTTAAAAGTCTAACATAATTACATTCTTCAGTTAATTTCAGGTAGAGTTTACTATAATAAAATTTTAATTTGAGGCTTAGTTATAAAGATACATAATGACAAATATTGGAAAGTTGTAAAAAATGATGATCTTTTTCGACATTTTCGCTGAGGAAAAATCGTTCCCAAATTGACCAAAGAATCCATTTGTAATCATTGGT